AAAGCTTCTTAAAGTATAATTCTCTTAAGAATAAAGATTTAATAAATAGTTAGCTAAGTAAATAGTAATATAAAGATTATAAGATAATATATATAGATTTATTTATACTATTATATAAAGCTTAAAGGAATTAAAGCTTTAATATAGAAATAAATAATAATATAAGTTTATATACTTTTCTCTTCTCTTTATAAGAAGTATATTTACTTTCTTACTCTATACTAAATATATATATACTAAATAATATATTTATTTAAGTATTTTATAAATAAAATAAATACATTATATTACTTAGTAGTAATAGCTACTCTTCTTCTTAATTTTTAGCTTTTAAGGTTTCTATTTTTACTTAAAAGTTAGTAAATAATATAATAACTTAACTAAAACTATAAATTAGAGATATATTCTATTTATACTTTTAATATAATTTATAAGTAAATAGAAAAGTAAAAATTATAAATTATAAATTATATATTTTTTTAATTTCTTTATTTTTTATAAGTTTTTTATTTTTCTTAAACTTATTAGTTTTAACTTCTATAAAATAACTTAAATTAGTAATTAATCTATAAGAATAATAAAATAAAATAAAAATATTATAATAAAAAAAAACTTTAAAAAACTAAAAATAGAGGATAAAATAACTTATTCTTAAATTTAAAACTTTTAAGTTTTAAAAAAAGTATAAGAAGAGTATTACTACTTTCTTTTTTTTTTTCTCTTTTTTTTTTTATTTTTTATTAATAAAAATAACTTTTATTTTAACTATTATAACTATATATTTAGTTTTAGTTTTCTTAATTATCTAAATAATATAATTAGTATTAAAAATAAAATTATAAATAAAAAGAAAATATTATAATTATAATAAATATATATATATATATATATATAAATAAACTAAATAATATATATATTAGTTATAATATAGATAAAAAAAGAAATTTAAGAAGTAGAAGTAATATAAAAGATATTATTATTACTACTATTTTATTACTTTAATAACTATTTTAACTTTTCTATTTAAACTAATAAGAAACCTCTATTTCTATTAAGTAAAATAATAATATTAATTACTACTTTAATATTTATAATTTTAATTATAATAAAAAGTATATAAAAAGAAAAACTTTTTTTTTTTTTATAATTTAATAATAAAACTATAAAGTTATTTTTCTTATTAGTTTTTTTTATTAATTACTTCTCTTTATATTTATTTATAGCGCTCTATATATATATTTAGATTTTATAATATTAATTATATAGAATTAAGGTTTTTAAACTTTTTTAAACTTAGGGAAATATATTATAATACTTTTAAATATCTAAAATAGTTTTATACTTAAAAAAAAATATAAAATAACTTATTTCTAATTTACTTATTTAAATTAATAATATTCTAACGTATTAGGATCTACTCCTTAAAAAACCTTTTATATTAAACTCTAATTTAGAAGGAATTAAGCTGTTTTATTTATATAGATGCTATATATACGTTATAGTTAGTTTATAACACTACTCTTATTTTATTTGCCCTGCCTTAGCTAATCCTACTGCTGAGTGGTTATGTGTCTTTCTATATATTCTGGCGATGAGAATAGTTTGTTTTTAATGCTTAAGTTCCTTTATCGTATTTCTAAAGAAAAAGTGCGATCTGTCTCGCGGTAGTGATTCCTTTCTGAATTTGACGTCCATTCAGCTGTTCCATTTTGAGAATGCACGTCAAGAAAGGGTGTATAGTGGCAATTGCGCCATCCCCCTTGGCTATTTGCCAAAGTAGCAGGGCGACCCGTCAGATTAAAGTGTCGGCGGCCTAGACTGTTGTGTTGATAGGCCTGCGCCGCTCTGATGCAGATCTCGCCAAGCTTTGTGATAGCCCCAAGGTGCTTATGGTCGATACGCCAGAAGAGATCCCGACAATCGGAAGCTTTGGCGACTTGACGGATTAGGCAGGCGAAAGGCGCTGAGCTTGGCTACAAGGCAAAGGTGGGGTTGACAGTCTGTCAGAACATGTTTAGATAAGGGTTGTGGTACCCCATCATCACGTTCAGTGTAGGCATTTATTGAGAGCTACTAGGTCATTTATTCACAATGTCACCAATCTTGTTATGTTTATGGGCACTCTTAGCTGTTGCTCAGGCTTTCCCCGCTTCGTACCGATCCGCCATCGTCAAGCGCGACGGCGAGGACCTACTGCCCGAGTATGACTTCATTGTTGGCAAGTCCCTCTCCTCACCACCGCTTGCAATGCCTGAGTTAACATTCATCAGTTGGTGGAGGAACGGCAGGCTTGACCGTGGCTGACCGCCTCTCAGAGGACCCCAAGAGTGCGTCTTCAAGTCAATGTCTGTCAGCGTAGTCCTGACCGAAACAGAAACCGTGCTGGTAATCGAATATGGACGCATTGCCGTGGATGACTCTTTCATGCCGCCGTTCAACACCCCCGCCGCTGAGTTTCTCTACAACTTGACCAGCGTGCCACAACCAAACGCCAACAACCGCGTCTTCCCCGTTCCTAACGGCGCTGTGGTCGGCGGCGGTTCTGCTGTCAATGGTCAAATTTTCTTCCGCGGGAGCAAAGAGGATCACGACAACTGGTCTCTCTTAGGTAATCCAGGTTGGGATTGGGACAGCATCTTTCCATATTACAAGAAGAGTCACTCTTTCAATCCCCCTCCTCAAGATATCCAGGAAGATTATGGCATGACATTTGACCTGTCGGCCTATGGCAACATAACACCCATCTACATGAGCATGCCGGGATACCAGTACCCGGGCCAGAAATACGAATGGAAGGCGTGGTCTGAGCGCGATGGCATCGTGGTGCAGAAGGAGCACGGCAATGGTAACGCCTACGGCTTGATCTGGATTCCCTCTTCATACGACCCCAGTAGGGCCTACAACCGCAGCTTCAGTGGTCTCGGGCATTACCAATACGTCCAACCTCGTCAGAACTACCACCTGCTACCTCTCCACCGTGGTATGAAGGTCAAGTTTGAAAAGCAGGAGCAGATCCAGAAAGCTGTTAGTGTTCAAGTCAAGCCTCGTTTCGGCGACGGAGCCACCTTCGATATCATGGCCAAGAAGGAGATTATTCTCTCTGCCTCAGCCACGCGCACGCCCATCATCCTTCAGCTCTCTGGTATTGGCCCAAAGAAGGTCGTAGAGGAGGCCGGTATCAAGTCTCTGATCGATCTCCCTGGTGTCGGATGGAACTTACAGGACCACTCCCACACTGTCAGTTTGTACAACTTCACTAAGGATGTGTGGCCGACGCCGACGACCATCCATACCAACGCGACCTTCCGCGCCGAATCTCTGGCCGAGTACAAGGCCCATAAAAGTGGCCCTTTTACCTCGCCAACCATTTCTGGTGGCCTTTTGCTCCCTGCCCGCAGCTTCATTGGCAGCCACTTTGCCAACCTCAGCCTTCAACTAGGACTCCAGGCCGCACACAAATACTATTTGCCAGATGGTCTTGACACTACCCTGATCGCCGGTTACATTCTCCAGCACAAGATTCTCCTGAAGTCTTTCCTCTCGGACAAGTCCGCCATCTTTGAGCATCCTTTCCAGGGCTCTCCCCGTGGAACTTCCATCCTTCTCAAGCCTTTCTCTCGTGGCTCCGTCAACATCAACCCCAAGGACCCCTTCGGGAACCCAATCTTTGACTACCGCTTGTTGTCCAACCCTTTCGACCTCGAGATCCACGTTCGCATGCAGCAGTACATTCGCAACCACTTCGCCACCTCCGATACTCTTTCCGCCCTCGGCCCTGTCGAGCTCGTGCCCGGCAAGGACCGGGCATCTGACGCCGAAGTGAAGAAGTGGCTGGTGGACGAGGAGAACCTGAACGCTTCCAACGGCCACAGCTGTGGCACCGCATCAATGATGCCCCGTCACCTCGGTGGTGTTGTCGACTCCAACCTCAAGGTCTACGGCACCAGTCACCTCAGCATCGCTGACACCAGCATCATCCCCCTTCTTGTTGGTGCTCACACTCAGAGCACTGCGTACATGATTGGCGAGAAAGCTGCTGATCTCATCAAGTCCAGACACGGATAGGGGTCTCGAAACGTGTTGATGCATATCTGCATGGCTCGAAGCTCTCCTCTCTATGTCCCTCCTTCGGGATGGTTTTATCTATCTTTTTGTCTTTGGGTGGCTATCATGCGTGTTTGACCGACGGACATGGATAAATCAGCCCGCAGTCTTTCACGTGGCTGCTCTTATCCTCCCGCTTGCATCAATGTATGCCTTCCCCATGTTGCCCTTCTATACATCTATTAAACCGCCCCTCGATCATTAATAGAAAGTGAGCATATTCTATCTATAACTAAGCTAAGCTTAGAAGATAAACATAGCTTCAGCCTTCATCCCCGTTATATTCTAACCAAATGCCTAAGATAAGAGTTAGAATCTCATAGGAAGCTGAAAATAATATTTAAATCTATCATAATAAAATTTAACAAGAATTACTAACTCTTTAGTAGTAATAAGAGTTAGGAGACATTTAAAATCTTTTATGAGGCACCTACGTTAGCTACATGAAACGTATGTATTAGTAACATAAAACCAGCCTTAGATAGAGCGTGCAAACAAGGTGAAGGGGGCGGTGTAGCCTACGCAAACACTAAGCTGCTTATGAGACCCTAGCATCCCTAAGAACTGAAGACCTCGATTGATAACCAGTAGCCTTTTCAGATGTCTTACCCGAGGTAAGTATTTGCGGAAGAGCATGCCCGTGCCCGGGCCAAGAGGAATAATGCCTTGCGAACGAATAAGACGTGCAGGTTTTCGTGCGGCTGACGTGTGAGGCAGAGTACTATTTAACAAATCAGAATCAGGCTATGTAGTCACCAGCAAGCTTTTGTTTACGCTGACGCCATTACCCCCTCTTCCTCATTCCGATTTCGTCCCATACACGTCTTATGGTTTTTACCTTACTTCAGACTTGTAACATCAAAACTCCAATGTATGGCTTTAACCAACCTGCTGCAATGTCTCAATCCCAGCACTTAGTGCGAAGACAGACTCGTCCCCCACAGTAAGATGAAAGCATCTCTGGGACTAATCGCACTGCCCTGCTAATTCTTCTAGACAACGAGACATCGCTGCCGAGGCATACACCGATGCGATTCAGTATCTTCAAAATGATTGTCAAGGAAACACTCTATTCATGGCTTGGCTGAGGACTGCGACACAGACATCGCTGGAAGACTTGCTGAACATGGTGTGTGAGACCGAGAAGAAATACCAGCAAGAGTCAAAGAGCACGAAAAGTCGCATGCGGTGGTTGAACGGGCTGTCCATCAGAATCATGTACTATGGTCAGGTTCTCGACACACTTTCACAGCATCACCCTGAATATGTAGGCTTGGTTTGGGGTGCGATCAAGTTCGTTTTAATGGTTTGCTTCAACTCTTACATGACCTTATCGCATCTAAGGTAAACTGATAAATGCTAGGGCATCATCAATCACGGCAATCTCGTCACCCAGTTTTCCCAAGCGTTGTCGATCATATCACATGTTTTGCCCATCACAAAAGTCACGGCTGAACTTTATCAGACGGAAGAGGTCAAAAACGCCGTTGCAAATCTGTATGCTCACATACTACTTTTTCTACAACAAGCCATCAAATGGTACAACTTGGGACCAGCTGGAAGGTTTTTCAAGGCAATATGGAAGCCTTACGAACTTGGCTACAAGGAGACAATGGAGCAAATCAAGCTTTGCGCCCAAATTATCGACGACATTGCCAACATTGCGCTCAAGTCTGAAGTTCGAGAGTTGAGCGTTTTGCTACAGGATGAAAGTCTTAAGCTAGAAGACAGGGAGAGGCGTCTTGTCGCCATGCAAACCGGCTTCAATCAATCTCAGGCAGAATTGACGCGAAAGGTAGAGTGGATCGTGAAGGCGGTAGCCCGTAAGACCACCCTAACTAAAGTATCACGGCTTGCAAGCTTTGCTAACAGATCTTGTGTGAAGGAGATTGTGTCAAGATTGATGAGATTCATCTCAGTGTCAACGATATGGCACCTCGAGTGCTTGACATGCACTTCAACCAAGCTCTAGCGATTTTAAAGCCTCGAAAGACACCGGAAGAATCCCTTTCGAAACATAAGTCCTTGATTCGTAGAGCACCGGCGTGGAGAAGCCAGATCCAAAACGGAAGTCACGTCCTTCAAAGCATCGGGACCTGGGTTTCGGATCCACACGCGTCTCTCCTCGTCCTAGAAACTCGTCCTCGAGCGCAGTTGAGAGTAAAGGAAATTGCGACTGAGCTCATCAGCCTACTTCAACCGCAAACCAAGTGCATCATGTGGTACTTATCAATGACCAGTTTGCAAGACAACGAAGCCATCTCAACTATCGAAGTCTTTCGATCTCTAGTTTTTCAATGCGTTAGGCTTGCTCCGGGGATTATGGAGTCAGACGCTAAAAACTTCACTGCGGCTAAGCTGCAGTCCTCTCATTCCGAAGAAGAGTGGTTTGCCTTGCTTTGCTTGGTTCTGAGGCGTTTGCCATCGTCTTTCATCATCATCGAAGCTGAAGATGTGCTGCGGAATGATGGGCAATCACGAATCTTGAGGAGGCTATTGCAGAGGCTCGTTGAACAATTCATAGACGCAGATCAGACACTTAAGCTGCTCATAGTTAATTATGGCTCTAAGTGGGAAGATGAGTTTGAAGGGAACTGGCCCAAGCGAAGTATCGTCAGTATTGAGGCAAAAAGCCTTTCCAAACGACTAGGAAAGCCTGGAAAACAGCCTGTCTTGGGGCCATTTAGGGCCAGACAGGGCCGATTTCGTGTAGGTACTTAATGTGTAGATTATCAATTTTCGGTGAGGGGTAAAGCAGAGGAGGCTGACCATGTCAGCCCCCGCCGGTTAATCATCTGACTTGCTTTTATTTATGCGGCTTTCCGTGAAAGTGAGGCGGACTTTATGCATGTTCTCAGCGAATCACATCTAGCCGCGTAGCACAGTTCTTGTTGGGAAATGTAGCTCCATTCTCAACGACTTTCCTTCGCTCTTCCCACTTATGTTCTCTCCTAGCAACAGATCGCAGTTTCCGTTTGCAGCTATCGTGTTTCCCAACATCGACGTGCCTGGCGCTTTCATGGCGGACGACACCAATGCCGATATTGAGGGAGAGCATCTCCGCCATACTAAGCGCGGAAGGGGGCAGACCACTCCTGGAGACGCAGCAGACAATGATTCAGGTCGAAATTGGAAGCCGTTCAGAGACGTAGGTCACATGGACGTACCTCCTGACATGGACGACAGTAGCGACATGGTTGCAGAGAGTCCAGTTCACGGCTCAACATTGATAGTTCACATTGTAGAATGTGATGGCAGGATGAAAGGCCATGAAAAGCATGGAAGTAAAATGTACTTTGACCTTCCCCGACTATGGGCGGGTGATTGTGGCGTCAGCGCACTCCGGGGACTGGAAGGCCTGGAAAGCCTAGAGCGCTATGAGATCACACACACGAACCTCACAATGGTTGTCAAAAGAAGCTACAACTGCACGAAGTTCCACGATGCCTGTTCGAAGCTGTTCAAGCAGGCGACGCCTCCTTTCCGAGATCCCAAGATGCCCCGGTTCATGGAGCCATATTTCAACATTCTGCAGCACAACACCGAGCCAGCACCATCCTTAGCCGAGATCATCGAGCTTTCCCAGGGCCTGAAAGTCGCGATGAACAAGGTCGCTGAAATGGAGCCTAGGGTTTTCCTGGGCTGGGAGGGGACATTTGCCCGGCCCTATCTTCAGATCTACCACGCTCGAGCGAGCATCGAATTACTTGCGTCCGAAAGCACAACCTCTTCAACGCTCGAAGGATCGTATCTGGAACAACTTCTTGATTACGTCGACAACGATTCTGGTTCCGACTTCCAAGAAGCGGATGAGCTCTTCTCTCGAGGACTTGTGACTGCTAACCATGTGGTTAAGCTATTTAGGCCAGATACCGTAGTGGTGAGCTTTGAGCAAGATGAGCCCGTGGGATACATTGTCCGGAACTGCCCGACTCTGCTCACCCCGCCCTTCGAAGTTGAATGTTTCACATGGGAGTTCGACGGCAAATTTCAGAAAGTTGAAAAGGTTCTCACTGTTGAGTGGCCAACAAAGGGTGATGACCTGGTAAACATCACTTCTCTGAATGCTTATCCTCTCCGATACAACACCCCTCTCGAGAGCATGGTACGCGGCCGCGGAGAAGTATTCTGGGCCTGTAGAAAGAAGAGCGTTGTGTCTTACAGCGCACCATCACCAATGTTTGAGATGCAAGTGGTAAGTTGGGCAATCGGCCGGCTGCTGCGATATCCTAATATTGACTAAACCTTTATTCAGACAAATCCACGGTACATGATCGACATGGAAACTTACAATTTGCTTCATCCCAAGGACGATTCTGATCAGCATCATCTTCAATTGACCGAAGAAGAGCAGCTTGTGAATCAGGGGAATCATGCAGATGAGCGATTCCTTCTGCTTCTGCCATCAAAGATCCTCGGATTCAATCTACACGACAAAAAATGGCGTCAATCACACCTCCTGAACTTTGTCGACTCAATCACTGACTAAGAACAGGTACCCTGTATGTGAAACATATTGGTCCAGTCCAATGGAATAAAGAAGCATTCAAACACTTGGTGCTCTGTCCAAAAAAGAAAGAGATCATCGAAGCCATGGTCAAGGCCCACGTATCCTTCAACATAACAACCGATGTTATAGAGGGGAAAGGAAAGGGCCTCATTATTCTTCTACACGGTGGTCCGGGGACCGGAAAAACTTTGACCGCAGAGAGTGTAGCAGAGCTATCAGAGAAGCCTCTTTACCGAGTTACTTGCGGTGACATTGGCACTGATCCAGAGAGCGTCGAGAAGTATCTTGAGTCGGTGCTCTACATCGGCACCATTTGGAAAGCTGGTAATGCAGCCCGTTTGTTTCAATTGTGATAGCTTCAAAGGCTAACTGGTCTTTACTTACGTGGCGTGAAGTTGTTCTTTTAGATGAAAGCGATGTCTTCCTGGAAGAACGAGAGAAGACCGATCTACAGAGAAATGCACTGGTGTCCGTTTTTCTTCGTGTTTTGGAGTACTACGAGGGCATTCTGATCCTGACATCGAATCGAGGTGCGTAGTTGCTCGTGCCTGATCAGCAATGCAATAAACAATGGATCCCATACACACAGAGCCTGTGAGGGTGAAGCTAATGCTTTCTTTGCTGCAGTTGGCTTATTCGATGAAGCATTCAAGTCAAGATTTCAGCTGGCCTTGCACTACCCCCCGTTGAACAAAAAAGGGCGTCGAGAAGTATGGCACAATCTCATAACGTTCATAGAGAGACATCAGAACGATGATTTGCCCCAGACTCGCAAAGACACACCAGAAACACTATTACCTGAGTCGGATCGCGTCAATATTTCCGAATTACGCGATAAGGTTCACGTTTTGGCAGAAGAGAATCTCAACGGACGACAAATACGGAATGCTGTCACCACCGCAAGACAGCTAGCTCGGCATCGTGGGCAGCCTCTGGGATACACCATTTTGACCGAGGCCATTGAGTTTGCTAGAGAATTCGAAACTTACGTCGACGAAACCCATGGTCATTCGGCAGGCGAGCACGCAAGATCGGCGCAGCTCAGGCGAGAATGAATTGCATTCAAAATTGGGGTGGTTTTCAGGCCTCTCACCTCTGCCTTTCTGGCGGGAGTCATCAAGTAGCTTGTGAAATTGAACAGTACGCTTAATATGTACACCCTCCAGTCGAATTCATTCTGCATGTGTCTGTCTACAACCCCTCTCTTACGTCACAAGCAGTCCGCTCTAAGAGAGGACACGGATAACCTGCGTAGTAATCCAGGAGACTATTTGGTTCTCATTGCTCTTCAGAGCCGCACGGGAGTATCTGTTGTCGCCGTGTCACAATCAAATATTGTCTTTCCAGGATTTCGAGGCGTTAGCGATCTTGAAATGCTGAAACAAGGGAAAATTAGTGGGAGCAGCGGTCTCTTTTGACGTGTTTTATGTGTTCTATGCTCCTCCTTGATGGTTTTTTGAATTCTTTCTCCGTTGGCGGTTACTCTCCAAGGTGTCGAGGGCCTGGCCACGAGTTCGAGTGGTGGTATGGCAGTCAATGTACCTAGAGAGATTCGGAAAGGCGATTATGCCTGTAGATCGGCCAGGAACAGGCAGTCCTGGACGAGAGACCCTTCGAAGTTTCGTCAAGGCTGACATTGATCTGTTTGTGGCGTAGTAACGTCCAAATTCCTATCAAAGCTGACCAGTCCTTAAAATGGTGAATTTGGCAGTGGCTCAAAGCTGTGGCCATCCCTCTCATGAATGTGAATTTCAAGGTGTAAATGCTGCTGGCCTACTATGTAGAAGACAAGACAACGGATTGGCCAATCATATAATCATGGCCTTTAGCGTATGCAGTTATAGTTTGTACTTGGTGCAAGCAAACATGATGCTTTCTTTAGTAAGGGCGGGCAAAGTGAGAGGGCTTTTCTTCGTGTCCTCCACCGGAAGGACCCGCTAGTCTGTCCAGTGTAGACTGTACATTCACCCGCATGTACTTGCCACGTGGTTGTCTAGATTCTGACTCTTCGCTGGTATTTGCTCTCTTTCTTTTAGTCCTCCAACGTTCTGGGGTCCTCATTTCGTTGAGCCTAACGGTGCCTGCTATAGCAACCGTCGGAGTGATATTCGCTTGTTTTCGTTCCCTTAGCTTCGAGTTTTCTTCCCTGACCACCTGGTTCTCAGCCTGCAGAGTGGGTACTATGCGGCCAAGCCGGCGAGCCTCACCCTCAGCAGCTTGATAGTTGGCTTTTAAGGCAGCATTCTCGTGGGCGAGTACATCGTTAGCCTCCCGCATCCTGCGTTCCCGCTCAACCAGGTCGTTCCACTCGTCGAGACCTATATGGCAGCAGTCGTGACGACAGCAGCGGTCGTTCTGGGCCGGCGGTGGCTGTTCATAGTGACGTGACCGAGAGCGCTTGAGGCTGACGTATTGCGTCCTACCGTCAGGGCTCGTTTCCACAAACCACCTTCGACTACGGGCGGCAGATGGCCTGTCTCGGCTGTCAGACGTCGGTTCCACCTTCGATCTTCCTGTCTGGGCGGCAGATGGCATGTCGCGGCTGTCAGACGTCGTTTCCACCTTCGATCTTCCAGCCCGGACGGCAGATAGCCTGTCTCGTATAACTTGATCTTGCTTCGAAAGGTCTTGTGATATCGTTCGATTCGATGGCTGGATCGGCAGGCTATGGCGGGCAGTGGCTGGTATGTTCTTCAAGAGAGATTGATCATTGAAACGCGGAACTCGGCCAAAGCTAGAGATCAAATCCCGCCTCACGTGGTCATGAGTGATCGGTAACATCTCGTCAAGTTATCACCTCTGAGTCTGTGGCCTCTCAACTTTCGAGCGGGTTCGGAAATGTGTCAGCGTGGCGGCTGGCAAGAATGCTGAATCAGTGTTTATGACAAGATGACCGATCGCTGGATTTTCATGCGCTGCGATGGGAGAGTGAAGAAAGCACAGATCATGACAAAACGCCGGTTGACTTCCTGACGTGGCTTATGGTCAGATGAGGAGGCTGTGCTTCGTCCGTGATTGGGCACCAACAACCACACTGATAATGAATCAGCCCAATGAGAGCCGAATCGTTCTGAAACATCTTGTCGAAGGTGATTGGATTCTGTCGTTCCATATCTCACGTGAGTTGGCATGCCCCATTCTCGACAAAACCACCTACACGGCTTTGAATGAGCTATCTACGGCAGTGTCAAAACGAATATTGAGGATCATGAGTGCTCGTCGATGTGAAAAATTGGAAAAAGGGCCAATTTGGCCGAGAGTGAATAATTGATTTTGCGAATCGTATCTACTGCACCTGCCTTGCTTTCTTCCGTGAATTCTGACTGGCGTACTTCCACCTGGTGAAGTCGTCGACAGGGCTCATCTTATGTCAGCATAATTGGATCAATAAGGGTCGGATCGCGTGAGCCCCTGTCGCTACGGTGACTGGGGTCTCGCATGGAGGTTCCAGAACAAGTGAAAATAACTCGGGACGATATCACAGCTTATCGGTGGACATCCGAGACGGGTGACACGGGGGACCCGGGGAAGGTTGGTCGCGATGCGCTAATCTTGGAGCAAGATTTGGAGGTGCAGACGGGGGGCTTCTTGGCAGGCATTGGACGACGCCTCGGGGGGTTCTTGGGGTGTCTCATGATTGACAACGGGGATCGCTTGCTGACAGGTCGAGGTGGCGGAACGTTGCGACGGACGTTGGGATGACTGGGCGATGACAGGTAGAGTTCACCACGGCCGTTGAGGAGATGCGGAGAGGGAGCGAATACGCAGCAGCAATACGAGGAGAGGGCATCATCAAATCATCAAGATTGAAAAAGAGGGCAGCCAATCCGGTGAGTTTGAATGCAAATGAGCAGTCACACAACCTGGAAAATTAGGTGCACGGCGTCCGGTCTCCGGGCGGAATGCGAGAGGAAGGAGCAAAAAGTCAGCAATGGGGACTGTTGGCTCCTTCATCCCGCCACTGGTCGCATTGTCTCAGGCGGAAGGGGCGTCGGTGACGTAGCGACCTGGGAAAGTGCGTGGAACGGGCTTGTAGCTGGCGGGGACGGATTAGGTAATTGCCTCCTGCTAGCCAGTGCCGGTCTCACCTTCCCGCCTGAGTCTCTGTCTCTGGCGCAGAAACAGTGGGAAGGAAGGAAGGGGGGCCGAAAGCGAAAGGAAGGCGGTGACCACTTTCCCATTTGGAGAGAGGCACCGTTCCACAATGTCACCGTCACCGGCCGTCCACTGATTGTCTGACTGACTGCAGTGCGCCTGCCAAATCACAGGCGGAAAGAAAAAAGGAAAGAACGAGACACAGCAGTTGGCAGGAACCCCTCTCCGGTTGACGGGTCCAGTGTCGCTGCTTCCCCTCCAAAATGCCCGCTCGTCCCCTGCCATTTTTCCAGAAATCCTGCCCATGACCCTTTTTTCCCACATGCACCGGATCCACTCTTCGTCCTGGTCTTTCCGATTCCCGACTGCTGTCTCCTGTTCCTGTTCCCGCAGCCTGCAACGTCGTCGTCGGCTCATGGAAGGCCCCGGACAATTTGCATCGTCGCCTCGCTAGTTCTTCGCCCGACGAATCATCGCGACCGGAACAGAATTGAAGGCTCCAGCCCGTCTGCCACCGAATTCCTGCATCGAACATCGAACATTCGATACCCACGGTTACGGCGCTGCGGTAGACACGACCTGCTTGTTCCCGGTCACCGACAGCGACACTGCACAGCACTGTGTAGTATCCGTACACCGACAAAAACGCCCACCTTTTGAGCCCTGACCGTGACAGTGAGACAGGCGACAGCGACTCACCTTGCTTCAGAGTCGGTGGCTGCATGCACCGCGACCCGACGGTGGAATTAAGGAATTCGCACCCCCGTCATGGTGATGCCACATGTCGCTACGGATCCATGTCTTTTCTCCCTCCCATCGCCTGAACGAGTCCCCCGACGCGCTGATCTGAGCTGAGACCAACCCAGCCGCGACCGTACCGTACGACGTATTTGGCACTCTGACAATTGCTACGCTACTGGACCGCCATCTGCAACTGCTGCCCTGCACACATACCCAACGCTACCCTGCCTGTCTGCTGCAAACCAACCACAAACACCACACCACCAACGACCGACGCAACAACGCCTCCCAGACCGACAGACACTGCGATTATTCCTGCGCATTCACCTTGCAACAAGGCTTCATTGATACTCGACCTTGACCCGTTCGCCGACCGCCTTCACCGACTCTTTTTTTTCCGGTTCTTCGTTCTCCCGATCGTACCCGAAGCCCCAGATCTCGTCTCTCGATAACCCGCCTTCATTCTTCAACTCGCCGACGGAAGGCAAACTTACCACCAAACCTATTCGAAAGCGCCCGCTGCACGACGACAGTCATATCTGCCGTCGACGTTCCGAGCCGATCTTTCAAACACGCCGCCGAAACGGCCAGCCTTCGTCACCTTCTTGCCCGACTGTCGCTCCAGCATGCTGCCATGGACCCTCCCGACCCCCTGCCGCTCCGTATAACGAGGAGCGCCTCCTCGTCCTCCTCTCTCCATTTCAAGCCACGCGACCGTAAACTTCACCTTTTGGTCGCCGCCACCGGCCCCCGCGACATATCATGGGCTCAAGCCCTCGTCGTGCGGCTCTCCAAGAGCTCTGCCATCGAGATGCGCGCCATCGTCGACGACACCGTCCCCCGATTGAGCCAGACCGTCATTACCATGCAGAACCGATCCATGTGTCCTCCCCTGCCTCCAGTGCGCGCCGCCGACACCGACGCCGACGATATAGAGTTTTACCGCCAGCAAGCCTTCGAACTGGTCGAGTGGGCCGATCTCATGGTTTTGGCCCCGATCGACGCGGATAACATTTCCAAGATGATGGCGGGCATTGCCGATACGTTCCTCCTCGAGGTACTGAGGGGGTGGGATACTGCCAAGAAGATCCTCCTGGTGCCCGGCATGAGCACACATATGTGGGAGAACCCCGTCACAAAACGGCAGCTCAACAAGATCAACAGCAAGTGGACTTGGATACGCGCCATGACCCCGATTCTGTGGCACTACGACGGATCACCGAAGAACCCGAAGCGGATTGTCAACTGGAATGGATTCAACGATGTGTTGGGCATCATCAAGAACCAGGCCGACCTCCTCGGCCTCGGGCGGGACGTCGACGTTGTCACTCACCTTGGGTACCTGGCGACTGGGGATCCGCGGGTCTACTCTAACTTGCCTCCCGAAATTTGGACCATCATTCTGGACTATGCTGGCGATTGGGAACTCGCGCAGGCCTTGGGAATCTTTACGAACCTACCAATGCCGCATCCTTGGACATTGCAGCCGAAAGATTCGCGAGATCCGATCAAGGTCTACGAGCACGAGCTAGAGTGGCTTGTCCTCACCTGCGACACGACCGCCATCTGCAAGAAGCTCCTCCAATCGCCACCTACACTGCACGACTTGCCCGCACTTGTGGTTGGGCTTCTCATCAAATTTTCACTCATCGACGTGCTCAAATGGATGGAGGCCAACCGCCCTGACCTCTTCAAGCACGCTTTCGATGGCAAAGTTCTCCCGACCAAGGCCTCGGCGTATTTTGGTCGCCCCGACGTCTTGGATTACTGGAAGGAGAGCAAATATTTTAGAGGCAAGCACCAACAGTCATATGATGCCGAAGCTGTGGACGGTGCTTCCAAAATGGGCTTTATCCAAGTACTTGACTGGTGGTGGCGACACTCCGGTTTGCCTCTGCGATTCACTGAAGCCGCCTTGGAGCAAGCCAGCGGAAAGGGACATCTGCTGGTCCTTGAATGGTGGAGGGATGCTGCGGCGCAGGATGAAAGAATCGTGCTACGTCCCGGCAAAGCTCTGCTGTGGGCTGCTCAGCACGGCCAGGTTGATGTCATCAAATGGTGGATGGCTTCTGGCATTCCCATCGCCCACGGCGACGGTGTAGCAAAGATTGCCTCGCGGTGGGGCCAGGTCGGCGTCCTCGAGCTTTGGCGCAAGCTCAAGGGTGACGACAAACTTACATTCGACGGCGAGGTGCTCGTCCAACCCACGATTCACCAGCACATCGGCGTGCTGGAGTGGTGGCGCAAGTTCGCATACGGCGAACTGGACGGCATGGAAGGAAGGAAACAACGCGTCGAATACCGAACGTGCGATATCGAGGAAGCTTTGGAGGACAGCATCGGCGACCAGGAGCCGGTGCGTAAATGGTGGGCCAGCAACGGGCTCAATCTCGGACTCCGCAATGTTGAATGGATGCGGGCCAGGTGTTTGTAGGACTATTCTCTGTTTTCGGGACACATTCACAGGCGCAGGCGGCATTGCTTTTGGTAGCACTGACACGGCGCCCTTGCATTGAAACCGGCACACAAAAAAGTTTGGCGTTCCGGACCTAAGGCTGGATGTCTGGCGTTGGCAGCATGCGTGATGAACGTGAGGGTATTACATTCTTATTATAGATTGATTGGTCTTTGGTCGAATCATGACATCTCGTTACACATATCCCCAGGAATGATTCCTTTCCTACCATCTTCATATAATCAATGGCACAGCAGCCAACAGTCCAGCAACCAAGATGACGCCGTCGACACCCATCGCAGCTGCACCAGCCGTACTGCCACCCGCGGTTGTTGCTGCCGTCGGCGCAGCATTCGTTAGTGTCGCCCTGGTGCTGGTGCTGGTGCTGGCGCCGCTGGCAATAGCCCGCGTAGAGGTGGTGCTCGTATCATCGTCACCACCGCCCAACACCGTAGTACTCGGGGAATCGTCAAAGGTAGTCGTAGCAGACCGAAGCCGCGTCGTCGCAATCAACCTCGTCGAAGTAGTACTATCATCCCCTCCACCACCACCACCGCCTCCACCACCACCATTCGGACCGTTGCACTTCTTGTTGCCCGCGCATGTCTGCCCCGAGAAGCAGTAGTAGGTATTGCAGCACGTCTGGCCGGAGGGCATACATCCCGCTCCGCATACCGTCTGTCCCGCCGCACATTGGCTCCCGCCTCCTCCTCCACCTCCGGATCCTTTGTTGCACTTCTTATCACCGGCGCAGGTCTCCCCGGCATCGCAGAAGTACGAGCCACAACACACCTGACCCGTCGGCATGCATCCCGTCCCGCACGCCGTCTGCCCGCTCGCACACTGCCCCCCACCCCCTCCCCCTCCACTCCCTTTTGAACAGAACCCGTCAGAAGTACACGTCTCCCCGGCATCACAATACCCGCCATCAGAGCAACACACCGTGCCGGAGGGGATACAGAAGCCGTTGCAGAGGACTTTACCCGACGAACACCCGGACGGGGCGCCGGAGCACGTCTTGCCGATGGGGCAGCAGCCGCCGGAGACGCAGACCTTGGTGGCCTCGCAGTAGCCGCCGCTGCCGGTGTTGCAGCAGGTGCCGAGGGTGGGGATGCATTTGCCGTCGCAGGGTTTGTAGCCGATGTCGCAGGTGGAGGCGACGGCGCCGAGGGAGATGGCGGAGGAGCCGAGGCCGCCTGGGAGGAGGAAGGGGTTGGACGCGGAGGAGGAGGATTGGGAGCCGAGGTAGGGGGAGGAGGAGTCGGCGAGGGCGAGGGCGAGGCCCGTTGATAGGAGGAGGGAGTTGAGTAGCATGATGGTGGTGGTGGTGAGGAGGCCTTGGGAGGGGAGGTATGCGGGAGGGGAAGGAGGTATATATATCTGATGGTGGAAGAGATCGAGCTATCGTACTTACAACGATGTTAAACAGCAAGCTTTAAGATGAACGATACCCCTGGGCCCCTTGCGTTGGAAATTAGCCTACGTGGGCCGGGGGAGGTGAACGGGAGATTTCTGTGTGACCCCGGACGACGCTAGGAAACGCCATGAGGCGCGTTGATAGACGAGCTGGCTTCCTTTCGCGTTCGCGAGTGCGGTAGTAGGCGAGGTATCAGGCTGCCGGGGGTGACGGCTGGGCTGAGGGCTAGGGACGCAGGGTTGTTTGCCACATTGTAGCTTGTTTTCACGAGGTTTGTTTGACATGATGCGGTGTTGCCTTCTTTAACTGAGGTTGTCTTCCAGGGACCAGTCTACATGTAAGGAAAGGGCACAGGACAAGATACCGATTGAATGTGCGTTGCGAATGTAAGCACCGCATATCTCGACGTTTCTTTCCTACCTTCAATCCTCAGCACACATCACGGCACTTCTTCAAGGCAGAAACATCCAAAGCTGAAGCCAAGAAAGCCCCGCCAAGAAATGATAAGCAGTCCATCCCAGCAACAGGCCTCAGCTCACTCAACCCGTTACAACCAGCCCAGCCTGCCCTCTCCCAAGCCGGGCGATTTAAGCGACCGACAGCCTTCATCTCGTTACGCTTATCCTGGCCCGGACGAACCTTAGCCCCGAATGCTTATTTTGCATTCGTGTGGTGAAGAAAAGCATGGTTTTGGAGAGGGGAAGTGATGGACGCCCCTAACGGCGACGGCGCGTGCGGCTGAGGGTCGCGGACGAATTAGACGGCAGGAAAGAGATGAGAGGCGCTCGTTAGCGGCGTTTGATGGGCGATTGGACCCTTATCGACATCGCGGGGCGAGGAGAACTGCGGCTGAGCTGGTGTTTATTCGGTGATTAGATGAGGTTAGCTGGGGAGAAGAGTTAAGCTTGATTTGACGAGAGGATGGTCGACGGGATGTGTGGTGAGGGTTTATCGAGACGGGGTGGGAGGGTATGTGTTGGCACTTGGCACGGCTGGGACTGGGAGTTGGTAAGGCGGGATTGAGTCATGCCGTCCAGATCAAATTTTGATAGACGGTGACGGATGGCTGGGCGTTTTCGTGGTGGTGTAAGGCTGATTTTGCGTTGTGGGATGGGTCGTGGTGTCTGAGATCTTGGGGTTGTGGTGGGAGACACGAGGAAGGTTGCTTGCGCAGGGGTTGAGATGGGCGTGATGCCTTACACAGTGGCGTCTTTGAGTTGAGTCGCTCAAATTTGAGGTCAGAGCAGGAAGAGCCGTGTCTTTGCAGTCTGCGATGCGAGGTATTCCGGGGAAGCACAAGGCAGGGGCCGGTGTAAGACGGCGTCCCACTTTTCACTCCGGCCGGCTTCCAATTGCGAGCCCTCTCAGCAGCGCGCCGTTGCGGGGTCTCAACCCGGCCCCACAACACAAATTTTCCAAAAGCAGAATCTGGTATGTCCATTCAGAGAGGGAAAACCATGAACTAGAACAAAAACAAACACAACGCCTCGAGACCGAAAGCGCAAAAAGTGATTCGACGTTGGCCTGATTCGAACAGACGCTCCCGAAGGAACAAGATTTCTAGTCTTGCGCATTAGACCACTCTGCCACAACGCCTCAATCTAATGAGCCCGCTTTGAGGCGGGGATGATGAGGATGGCGGTGTGCTAGGTCATGTGCTGTCAGTCTGGACCCTCCACGATGCGGATCCCGTAAACAATGTGGACAACGGCAGAAGGACCCTCTCCGTAATACTAATTACATTCTCAAAAGCTGCTTGCTGTATACGCCAAGGCCTCAGAAAGCACAATTGAGAGCCTAAGAGTTTGCCATTCGGGTCGATGATGATGATAGGATCACAGCAACAATAGTATTATCTCATACGTAGTGCTCCGCCCGAATAGCACAACTCGTTCACAAATACTGTGGAATTGAAATGACGATAAAGTAGCCAGTAGCATTCAATCATCCAAATATTAACTGAGCAAGCAGACTGGAGTTTTATTTTGGTGACGAGTGAAGTCACTCCCTCTGCTTTCATTGTACGGCATACCAGCTTTCACTCCGAGGAAAAACTAAGCGGTTCTTCGTTGAATCAATAAAAAAGAGTGTTTGATGGTTGGTTCTGCTAAAGGGGGCAATACTCCTCCCTCGTCGTGACTCTAGTTGAGACTGGCAGGCCCTGAGATGTCGTCTCATCAAACGGAAGGCTCCTATCCGTTCTACGTGTAGATGTCCAATAGAAACCCGCATAAGCCCCATAGTCGCGCGAGGCTGTGTCAATCCCCTAGCCTCATAAAAGTGTTGCGCGGAATCAACCTACATACATCAATCGTCTGAGAAATGCGAATCCAGGCTTCTTCCGTTCAAACATGGAAGACCAATCGTTGGCACGTCTATGGCCATGAAAATATACTAATTCTAGATTGATTTGACTCACTGTATGTTAATCTGTCTTTAGGTGCGGGCAACGATACCTCAAGTAGTCTCAACCCGGTCGAGGCCGCATACAGCGTGTGAGAAGATGTAGCAGATCGCACACCATCGTTCTGACCTTTGACATGAAACCATCTCACGCGAAGGGACTGATCACTGATTTCATTAGATTTCAATCCATCAACCTACGGAGTCGTCTCCCCTTGGCCTTGTGCTGGGCTGTCTTTGAACATGCCTCCTGCGCCTTGCAAAGAGGCCTCATCGTATTATCAATCACACACGTAGGTCACGCTCCACAAACATCGCTACCAGCGTGCCTCAATACCGAATACAACCCCCAAAATGCTTGGCCAGACCAAAGACACCTAGTAACGAATCCGAAATACCCGAGTCGTCCGCGCCAAGATCGACAGAACGTCCAATCCCAGCGACGACGGGCAAGAACAGTCGAGTGGTGTGCCCTCTCACCCCTGAGCCGATCAGACGAACGGGGCAACCCCAGCCTGCGCGAGGGGAACTCCAGCCGACAGGGCACCTAACCACGAACCCCCTGTTCCTCCCAGCAGCGCTGGCAGCACCCAACGATAGCGGTTGAGATGACATGGGACCCGATCCCATTGGACAGCCCTAAACGTCGCGACCCTCATTTCAAACGCGGCTGCTTTTATTTTTATCTTTATTCTTGTTCCTGTCGGGTGCCCTTTTCAATCCCGTTCCATCCCCGAAGGTGGCCGGACGGTCTCTGGCGGAACGCTATTCTTAGGCCCGGAGATCTTTGAATAGTTTATTCCCCCGCTGGCGGGGGTGTTGGTGGAACTTTACCGAGTTTCTGCGACCTGAAGGGGTAAGAGGGCACGCGAGCACGCTGCCGCTCATTGAACGCAGGGCTGCCTCCGTGATGCGTTGTCGATGAAAGTGGAAAATATGCCATATGATGGACGGTTGATGTTCTCAAGTTGCATCTTCCGTTGCCAAGACTCAATGTCAAAAACTCACAAGTCGACGCGATCCCGAAAGCTTGGCGCAACTGTTGGACTTCAAGCCTCCAAGCCTGGGCAGTTCCAGTCGACGTGTTTGGCGATCTTGGCGGGGGCTTCACGTGGAAATCTCAAGATGGGGGCCATAACTCTCTCAATTATGATGCAACTCAAGAAACCCTAGCCTTCACAAGTTGTTGCATCTCTTGCCGACGCGGGTGGAAGTTCTCTTGAAACCCAACCTAGTGTCAATTACCCGCGGAGTCTCGCAGCTCGACCTCGGAACCAGACTAAGAAGAGGACCACAACGAATAGCCTGCATCCGCATTTCCAACAGATAATCTGATCCATCATCCTCCGCCTCGTGTTGAAGCTATTCGCGATTTTTCACGTCATGAAACAGCAAGGGGTTCAGGACCGACCCCGTCCAATTGGCTGCGCACCGCCGTTGATGCGCGACCAGCCCCCACCCCAGGCAATTCGAAACGACTCAGCTGTCAGACACCTTGACATGAAGTGTGTCGCCAAAACCTGCCGCACCACCCTCTCTCTTTGGTCCGTTTATTAATAGCAGCCGAGAAAATCCCCCGGATTTCCTCGCCAAAGTTAGCCAACTTCCCACCGAACGGGGGCCGGTTGCAGTTTTCATTATCTGATGGCTGTTTGGGTAGATGCTAATCTAAGCCCAAACATGGCCTCACCAAGCCGGTCTTTGGGCGGGAATGAGACGAAGCTGTCACATCGCGATGGCTTCTTGGCAAAAATTGAGATGAGGGGTAGATAGACCTTACAGACTTTGAGTTGATAAATAGTGATGGAGATCTCGCGGTCTTTGGTTTCGTGTAGAGTCTCCAGCCCCCCAGCGCCTTCGTTCTCGCATCGTTAGATTCGTTTCGTTCCAGCGCGGGCCGCCGACTTTTCAATTGTAATCATTCAATTCTAGACAGAGGCTCTATCACATACCCACTCAACCCAACATGGCATCACAAACACTCCCCCTCCGATCCCGCCTCCTCTCTTCAAAACTGTTCATCTTTGCCCTCTTCTTCTTCTCCATCGTCACAATCACCTTGGCAGGCGACGATGCCACTTCAACCCCCGCTCAACAGAGCGCTCCGTTCGTGGACCAGGCCACCGGCCTGAACATGGAGCGCTTCTTCGGTGCTCGAACATCCTTCGCCTTCGCCATGGCCCTCCCGGAGCAAAACGGGACTGCCGGAGCCGGGTCCTTCATAGGGCAACTCTCCTTCCCTCTCGTCAACGGCGTCGGATGGGGCGCCATGGGTTTGACCGGCGAAATGGAGGGCAACTTCATCCTGGCGGCGTGGCCGGATGGTGCCGGGGGCGTGATGGCCTCGTTCCGACAGGCAACCGACGAAGATAACCCGCCCGAAGTCAAGGGCAACTTTGCCGTTCGGCCCATCGCTGAAGGTGTTTCTGTCAACGCCACATCTCTCACGTACACCTTCCTCTGCGAAAACTGCCTCGATACAACATTGGGACTG